GCGCATGCTCGCGCTGGGGCCGAGGCCGACGCAGGCGCACTGAGTCCCATGGCGCCGCCGCCCGCGTTTTCTGAGCTCGTGTCCGCAAGCTGATCCGGAGTGCCAAGAGCTGACTTTAGCTCACCTCTGCAGATTTGTAAAGTACGTTCTGGTGGTGTTTCCGACTTATAGGTGGGGACTCTTCAGGCTCGGAGGGATTAGCCAGCCCCCGGCTGCTAATGGCGGGTGTGGGACTCACTCGCGTTCGGGGTCTGACACCCCGCCCGGCAACCGGCAGGGCAGGGTCTGAGCACTCCTGGGTAACCCCATTTCACCTCCTCGCCGAACCTGATCTGAGCCACCTTCACGCCTTGCCTGGGCTCGTCTCCTCACTGCTTCTCCTCATTCTGTCCTTTCTGGGGTGGGGGGTAACTGGAAGGGCAGACTGAGAGCGGGAAATGTATCCCTTTATCTTGTTCCTAAACCTTAATACAATGATGAGAAAGTAGAAGCTGTGTTTTGGGGGAAATGCATACTTGAGGAAAAATTAACCTTGCCGACTATGTTTTTTCAGAAACGCAGACTTCCTGGTGCCAGAGGGATCTCATAGTGGCAATCAAGCTTGCCAAGAGTAAAGGGAATTTACAAGGCCTAAGACATCAAGAAGTCACGAAACTTGTAATTACAAAAGTTATGACCGCTCAGAGGGGGAGCAGGTGGGGATTCGCTCTATCCAACAAATTGGGCCCTATCTACAGGGAAGTCAAGGATCCCCCGAAGCTACCCACTGGGAATGCATAGGAGATAAGGGGAAGTGCACTCTCCATTAGCTCTAAGGAGTGTCGTTCAGAAAGGTGCAGGAGCATTAGAATCCTTGTCACTCCCTTCTCTAGGGGCTATGATAATGTGGGCGAACATTAGTGGGTCTCTGGGTCACAGGATCTCCAAGACATCCACAGGTGGTGGATAGGGAAGTCACAGCAGTCACATCTACCTGATTGCAACATCTCCAAGGAAAAGGATTTAAGCCAGGGCTCAAGGGGGCTACGGGGCCCCCACTCATCTAGAGTGTAGGTCTGCTCCCTGTCTGTGGGGAGTGAACTTATCTTAAATAGATCTTTTCTTCTCTCACCTCTTTGCGTGTTGCAATTCTTTGTATTACTCGGATCTCTGGGTTGCCAGCGCGCACCCCAGCACGCCAGCTCCAGTGGTCTGCGCCCCTCCATCCACTCTAACAGTAACCTTAGGCTGAACCCCCTAGGCTGAACTTCGTGCATAAAATACACTCCTACCCCTGGCTGAGGACTTTCCCTGGTGGCCACACATCACAAGCTTGCAACAGCATGTTTATCTGTCTCCCTGGGTTAGGGTTACTACTCCTTCACCCCACTGCCTGCAAAACATCAAAGTCATTCTCGCTCCAGGGCTTTTATATTCCTTGTTTCCTCTTCCAGTCATATCTCTTCTGCAGGTATCTCTCTCACTTCATTCAGGCCTCTGCTCAAGTGTCACTGCCTCAAAGCTGCCTTCCCTGAACCTTATCTAAAACAACCCAACCGTCAGTTTCTATTCCTTATCCTACTTTAGTTTACTTCATTGCACTTAATCTCTCGACGTTATATGTTTATTATCTCTTACCTCCTTCCTTAGTGTGTAGGTTTCATGAGCAGAGCCACCTTGCCCATCTTGTTCACTGCTATGTACATAACAGAGCACATTGTAGATTTTAAAAAATACCTGATGAATGAATAACCTCATTAAATAAATGTCAAGAGTAAGGGAAAGACTGAGAGGCCGGAGGCTGGATGGAAGTTACCCAGTGTATGGCAGGGCTTGGGATGGAGAAGAGGAAAACCAGAGAACAGCCCCAGGAAATAGATATTACAAGGTCTGTACCAAAGATATCAGAAGAAATGAATCGAACAAACAAACAAAAAAAGAAAATATCACAGCCAGTGTGGTGACGTGCACCTGTGGCTCCAGCTACTTGGAAGGCTGAGGTGGAAGGATCGCCTGAGCCCATCAGGTTGAGGTTGCAGTGGCCGTGAGCATGCCTGTACTCTGGCCTGTGTGACAAAGTGGACTCCAACTTAAAATAAAAAATTAATAAATAGTAACAGATGAGTTTTTTTTTTTTTTTAAAGGAAATATAAGATTGCAAGGTCTGTGGGCAAATGTATTTTTATGCAAGGGTATTTCATCAGACTTGGTAAAAATTCTGTAAATGAAGGCCTTTCCCTCTTGTGAAGTGTCATGGACCTTTTCTGCATAGGCAACAGTGCATTCTTCCAACTCAAACTTCATTTACATCTAATTTCAGCCTGTCTTTGACAAGCAGCATCCTCACTTTTCTTTTTTTTTTTTTGAGTTGGAGTCTCACTCTGTCGCCCAGACTGGAGTGCAGTGGCCGCTCCCGGCCACCGCAGCCTCGACCTGCTGGGCTCCGGTGATCCTTCCGCCTCAGCCTTCCAAGTAGCTGGAACTATAAGCGCATGCTACCACACCCGGCTGATTTTTGATTTGTTGTAGAGATGAGGTCTTGTCAAGTTGACCAGGTGGGTCTCGAACCCACTGGCTCAGGCAGTCCACTCACCTCGGCCTTCCAAAGTGCTGGGATTACAGGCTGAGCCACTGAGCCCGGCCACATCCTCATTTTCAAAACCAGAGCCTGTTGGCACTGCTGTCCTGTCATCAGTGAGCTACAAGGGAGTGTTTTGGTTAGTCTTGATCCTCATATAATGTTCTGATTTTCTGTCACCCAGACAGAGAGTTTTCATTGGCCTGCCAGGTATGGCAGAGCTTGGGCTGAATTTTAAGGAGAAGCCAGATGGTCAAGTCATGGACTAACCTTAACATACTCCTTGGCTGAGAATGAGACTTGGACGGGTGCTTGAAAGATGGATAAGATTTTAAAAGTCAATGTGGGCCGGGCTTGGTGGCTCAGCCTATAATCCCAGCACTTTGGGGGGCCGAGGCAAGTGGATTGTCTGAGCCCACGGGTTCAAGATCCACCCAGGCAACTTGATGGGACCTCGTCTCTACAATAAATCAAAAATTAGCTGGGCGTGGTAGCATGCGCCTGTAATTCCAGCTACCTGAAAGGCTAAGGCGGAGGATCGCCGGAACTCAGCAGGTCGAGGCCGGGAGTGTGCCACTGCACTCCAGTCAGGGCGACAAGTGAGACTCCAACTCAAAAAGACAAGTCAATGTGACTTTAGGCAAGGTGCTTCATCTCAGCTGAGTCTGTTTTCCTCATCTGTAAAGTGGGTATTAATAGTACGTACTATAGGCACTTATGGGATCATTCTGAAGAGTAGATAAGAATATGTGGAACATGCTAGGACAGTCCCTGGAGCACTTAAGTGTCAAGCAGTTCCTAACTAAAAGTGACTGCTACCGCTGATAGGTGGGCCTGCCACCCTGCCAATACCGTAAGCCCATAAAGACAGACAAGCTCAATAATAGAGTTTATACTTAGGCAGACAGGAAAAAGCAGGATCAGTAAGGCATCAGCTCCACAGGACTCATGTCCTAGAGGACATGAAAACGCAGGGTCCAAATGACAGACGATGTGAAGAAGCCAATTCCATTCTACCGCCATGCTGTTTTACAGCCTGCAGCTATACACTCAGTGGGCCAAGTTGGAAAGGCCCTTTTCTCACAGAATTCAGGCAGGCAAATGAGAAATGGCCTCGTGCTAGTCTCCTCTGCGAGAAATGGCCCTGAGACAGCTCCTCCCAAGGCGGCCCATCCTGCCTTTTTTCAGGAACGATCACAGGGCATTCTGCTAAGACTTGGACCAGTCTGCGGTTGAGCCTTGCCACATGGCCTGCGTGAAAATGTGCAGGATCACCAGGGTGCTATTAGTGGAACTGTTTCTTTGCCATAAGCACTCAAATGTTAGCCATTAATAATACTATTATTATTATTCCTGGATAAGTAAAAGTCAGCATAAGCAAAGACATGGAGAAAAAGAACAGGGTGTGTGGGAGTTGGCTTGGAGCCGAAGAGGAAGGAGGGTGGTCTGGGTAGAGTAGATGCAGGTTACTGAAGCTAGCCTCATGACACTGGGTTTTTGTTTTTTTTTGAGTTGGAGTCTCACTCTGTCGCCCAGACTGGAGTGCAGTGGCCGCTCCCGGCCACCGCAGCCTCTGCCCACTGGGCTCCGGCGATCCTTCCGCCTCAGCCTTCTGAGTAGCTGGAACTACAGGCACATGCTACCACACCTGGCTCATTTTTTATTTATTGTAGAGATGAGGTCTCGCCAAGTTGCCCAGGCGGGTCTCGAACCTGTGGGCTCAGGCAATCTACTCACCTCATCCTCCCAAAGGCGCAGGATTACAGGCTGAGCCACTGAGCCCGGCTGACACTGAGCTTTTGTGTCATTAGCAGTAGGGCTCCTTGACTAGAGAAAATTGGGATGAACTTAATTAAGTCTATGGCCATATACCACACTGAATGTGTCTGATCACTGAAGTTAAGCAGGATGAGGCCTAGTTAGTACTTGGATGGGAGACCACCTGGGACTACCAAGTGTTGCTGGCTTTAACAAATAAGCCTGGTGTGGTGGCTCATGCCTGTAATCCTGGCACTTCAGGAGGCAGAGGCGAGAGGATTGTCTGAGCCCAAGGGTTCGAGACCAGCCTGAACAACTTGGCAAGACCTCGTCTCTACAGTAAATAAATAAATTAACTGGGTGTGGTAGTGCACACCCATGGTTCCAGCTACTTGGAAGGCTGAGGCAGAAGGATCGCCTGGGCCCAGTGGGTTGAGACTGCAGTGGCCATGAGCGTGCCTCTGCACTCCAGCCTGGGCAACAGTGAGACTCTGACACAACAAGCAAACAAATAAGTAGCTGGTCATGGTGGCATAATCCCAGCTACTCAGGTGGCTGAGAGAGGACAATGAATCAATCGCTTGAGCCCAGGAATGCAAGGCTGAAGTGAGCTATGATTGGGCCACTGCAGTCCAGCCTGGGTGACACTGACAGATCA